TTGCTTCGCCCAGCGCCCCCCCCCCGCCCGCCGGAACCGCCGCCGGCGGGAGGAGGGGCAAGTCAAGGGGCGCCGCCGCCCCCCAGGAGCGGCCCCTCGTAGCTACTCACACCATGAAGTTTGAGGATATGAAGATCACGTTGTCTTCAGGTGAAGTCCTCGCCTACCAGTCGGCGCACCTGGTGCCGTTGCGCGACGGGCCCAGCAGCGGCCAGCAGCAGGCACCTTACCGAGAGGAGACAACCCTTGACAAAGCTGATATGAAGAAGCCTCCCAAGGCACCTTCTTCTGCCTAGCGCGCAGGATTCAGTGCGCAGTGGGCTGCTGGTCCCCCAGGGCGCTGCTTAGTCGACAACATTGTTCGGCTAAGCCCCAGCCCGACACAATGCTACACTGCCAGCGGCAACACCTTGAACATATAACAGCTCAACAGCCAACAGTTTTCTCATGTCCGATTCGAGGCGCGGCATTGTGCTCAATTGGCCCCCCAATCCGTGCTGCATGGGGTTTGGACGGCGGGTCGAGCAATTGATGCGGCGCTGTGTTGGGCAGCGCGCAAGTAGTTAGCACCCTCCTGCCCTTTCCTGCTCCTCTTCATTCTATATTCTTCTACCCCATCAATTCACCCACCGCACCTCCTCCTCCTCCTACTTCGGAGGGCACCAACTATACACCAACACCGATCCTGGCCCAGGATCACCCTGGGCCCAGGATCGGTGTATATGCCTTCTTGCGCAAGGCAGGAGGGCGTATGCACCGATCCTGGGCCCAGGGTGATCCTGGCCAGGATCGGTGTTGGTGTATAGTTGGTGCCTTCCTCCTACCCCCGCCTTCGCGGGGCGTCCCGCGTGGCGGTGCGTTACTGAAGACGCACCACGGGCAGCCTGAACAAGGGGGCGCCCTCGGAGAGCACGACGAGGCGGCCGCTCGCTCTCGGCCGACCCACTTCGCAGGAAAACCAACAGGTCAGCGATGCGAGATTCTCATTCGTTGCTTCTCCACGCTTCCGTTTTTTGTTGTTCCCAACCATCCTGTGGTGTTGGGTCCTCGTTTTGAAGAGACGGTGCCCCGCGTTGTCTTTCCTTCCTTCCTTCCTTCCTCCCGCTGCCTCCTCCCCCCTCCCATCACCATCATCATCATCATCATCATCATCATCATCATCATCAACACCCAATTCGGCACACCCCTCACACGTTTCGTGGCTCCATAGGGAGCTCCACCGAAGGCCCCAGTGCCCGCGGCCGCATGCGTCACCCACACCCATTTCGGCACACCCCTCACACGTTTCGTGGCTCCATAGGGAGCTCCACCGAAGGCCCCAGTGCCGCGGCCGCATGCGTCACCCACACCCATTTCGGCACACCCCTCACACGTTTCGTGGCTCCATAGGGAGCTCCACCGAAGGCCCCAGTGCCCGCGGCCGCATGCGTCACCCACACCCATTTCGGCACACCCCTCACACGTTTCGTGGCTCCATAGGGAGCTCCACCGAAGGCCCCAGTGCCCGCGGCCGCATGCGTCCCCCACACCCATTTCGGCACACCCCTCACACGTTTCGTGGCTCCATAGGGAGCTCCACCGAAGGCCCCAGTAGGGAGCCACCGAAGGCCCCAGTGCCCGCGGCCGCATGCGTCACCCACACCCATTTCGGCACACCCCTCACACGTTTCGTGGCTCCATAGGGAGCTCCACCGAAGGCCCCAGTGCCCGCGGCCGCATGCGTCACCCACACCCATTTCGGCACACCCCTCACACGTTTCGTGGCTCCATAGGGAGCTCCACCGAAGGCCCCAGTGCCCGCGGCCGCATGCGTCACCCACACCCATTTCGGCACACCCCTCACACGTTTCGTGGCTCCATAGGGAGCTCCACCGAAGGCCCCAGTGCCCGCGGCCGCATGCGTCACCCACACCCATTTCGGCACACCCCTCACACGTTTCGTGGCTCCATAGGGAGCTCCACCGAAGGCCCCAGTGCCCGCGGCCGCATGCGTCACCCACACCCATTTCGGCACACCCCTCACACGTTTCGTGGCTCCATAGGGAGCTCCACCGAAGGCCCCAGTGCCCGCGGCCGCATGCGTCACCCACACCCATTTCGGCACACCCCTCACACGTTTCGTGGCTCCATAGGGAGCTCCACCGAAGGCCCCAGTGCCCGCGGCCGCATGCGTCACCCACACCCATTTCGGCACACCCCTCACACGTTTCGTGGCTCCATAGGGAGCTCCACCGAAGGCCCCAGTGCCCGCGGCCGCATGCGTCACCCACACCCATTTCGGCACACCCCTCACACGTTTCGTGGCTCCATAGGGAGCTCCACCGAAGGCCCCAGTGCCCGCGGCCGCATGCGTCACCCACACCCATTTCGGCACACCCCTCACACGTTTCGTGGCTCCATAGGGAGCTCCACCGAAGGCCCCAGTGCCCGCGCCGCATGCGTCACCCACACCCATTTCGGCACACCCCTCACACGTTTCGTGGCTCCATAGGGAGCTCCACCGAAGGCCCCAGTGCCCGCGCCCGCATGCGTCACCCACACCCATTTCGGCACACCCCTCACACGTTTCGTGGCTCCATAGGGAGCTCCACCGAAGGCCCCAGTGGCCGCGGCCGCATGCGTCACCCACACCCATTTCGGCACACCCCTCACACGTTTCGTGGCTCCATAGGGAGCTCCACCGAAGGCCCCAGTGCCCGCGGCCGCATGCGTCACCCACACCCATTTCGGCACACCCCTCACACGTTTCGTGGCTCCATAGGGAGCTCCACCGAAGGCCCCAGTGCCCGCGGCCGCATGCGTCACCCACACCCATTTCGGCACACCCCTCACACGTTTCGTGGCTCCATAGGGAGCTCCACCGAAGGCCTCAGTGCCGCCGCCCGCATGCGTCACCCCCACCCATTTCGGCACCCCCCTTGCATTTCTCGCACGGCAGGGTCATCACCACGGTGGCGTGCCAGGGGCGCACCATGCGCGAAGGCGACGGGGCGGAGAAACGGCGCTCCGGGGGCGGCCAGACCTCCGGGCGCGAGCAGTCCGCGGCCAGACCATCTCTCGGTCCTGTGGACTCTCGCCCTGGGCCGTCGGCTGCCCGGCGCGCTGCTCCCTCGGTCGACGTCGCCCAGGCGTGATCCTGGATTGCGGCCGCCACGAGGTAGGGAACGGCAAGAAGGAGGACGACGACTGGTGGCTGGAGCTCTACGCGCTGCTCTCGCGCGCCACGCGCCACGAGGACCTCCTGCTCATGCGGGCGCCGCGCATCGAGTTCTTCCTGGCAGGGCCGCCGCAGGGCTTGCGGAAGCAGCTGGAGCAGTTTGCTGCGCGCACGAAGCGGTGCAGGAGGGAAGCGACGGCCCTCGCCAGGGAGCTCGGCTTCACCGAGTTCATCCGCGAGGCCTGACCTGAGGAGCGTCTCCCCCGAGCTGCGCCTTCTCTCGACTGCCCGACTAATTGTTTGGCCTCGCGCCGCGGACGACCCGCGCGCGTCGCTGGGACCCTCTCGGGGCGACCAGCGCGCGTCGCGGGAACTCCGTGCTGCGGGGGGCCCGGCGCCTCGTTCGCCCGTCGTCGCTCTGCCCAGCGGTCAGAGACTTGCCCGCTATCAGCCAGCCAGTTAGCTAGTCAGCTCTCTCTGCTTCGCGCAGCGGACGACCCGCGCGCGTCGCTGGGGCCCCGCCCGGGGCGACCAGCGCGCGTCGCGGGGACTCCGCGCTGCGCTGCGCCCGCAGCCTTGGATTTTGGAGTGCGCGGGCAAAGAGGAAGGAAAAGAAGAGCCGAAAGCGGGCGCGATCCTCGCAAGAGGCGTGCCGACATGGGCGTCGCGACGTGCGGACGCTGCCGTCGGGGTTCCCGCGGAAGCTGCCTGCGGCGGCCACGCCCAGTGTCACGTGTGTTCGGACAGGCATGCTCGAACCATTCACATTCATATACACTTACACTAGGCGTTTCCATGATCGCATTCGTGCAAATATATTCATTCGCGCGCAGACCCATTCATACTCAGATTCCCTCGCGCTCTGACTCGCCCGCGTCTTTCTTTCGTAATCAGATCTATCGTATTCCTTTGCGTTGTGTACCCCGCCACATTTCGGCACACCCCTCATGCGGTTCGTGGCCCCATAGGGAACGCCACCGAAGAAGATACTCACAATTGCGATACTCACAACTGCATATGGTTGGGTCCTTCGCCAGGATAATTTTTTTTTTTTCATATATATATATATTTATATATTTATATATATATATATATATATATATATATATATATATCGTTGTCCGTTTTTTATCGTTGTCGTGCCTTCCCTTGATATTCGCAAGCGCCCCCGCGCCGCCCGCCAAGACAACGCCTTTCAGCCAAGGGGAGGGGTTTAGGACAAAAGTGATCGGCTGGCTGATGGTTTCGATTTTAAAACGGCTTGGGTTCCTATGGAATTTGGGGTTCCAGGAACCCCCCCCCGGCAGAAAAACAACAACGCGCGCGACAACGACTTCTTAGGATTAGTTGTTTTTCACGCCGAGCCGCCCCCGCTGGTGGTGTCGGGCGATCAGGCGCGCCGTTCCCCTTCTGATCATCATCTTCGTCCATACGGTCATGCTTCGCACACCATCGCCTCTTGTCAGGGAGTGCTGTATTGTCCTGCTTGTGGAACCTATGGGGTGGATCAGGCTCGTAAGCTTGCTTCTGAGTGTGGACAACCCTTGGCGACAGGGCGGAAGACGTTGTTTCGATTGTCGTGCAGGTCCCCTCCCAAGTCAGGTAAGACCTTCCCCGTGAGGGGATGATTGCGTCATGCGCCCAGTCTTGCTCTTGGTCACAGCATCCAGCGCAAACGCAATCGCAATCTCCTCGTCCTCGTCCTCCGCCTCCTCCTCCTCCTCCTTCTCCTCCTCCTCCTCCTCCTCCTCCCCCTCCCCCTCCCCCCGGTCCAACTGGCGGGGCTCCACTCTCTTCGGGGCGGGGCCTGGCGCTCTCTTGCCGCGAAAGCCGGGCGCCCGAGGTTCTTCCACGGAGAGCGGCGCCTGTTGCTGGTTACGGAACGTTTTCTCTGGTACAGGCCGCTGCTAGCTGCCCCTCCCCCCGCTCGCCTGTCGACGGGACAGTCGAAGCAACAAGTACATACCTCAGAGGAAGAAAAGGTATCCATGCCGCTACCCTGCCCTTGTTTCCCCCTATTTGGGTATCCTCGGAGGCCCTGGTCGCCACCGCTGGAGTCGCCTCGATTTCCTGGCCGCAACACATCCCAGGAAAAATCGGAGGAGTAAAGGTATCGGTCATTGTTTGGTGTCCCCTGAAACAACTACATGTTCGTCGGTCGCTGGAAGTCGGCATTTTTGGGTTTCCAAAGTCTACTACTGTAGGCGCCTTTCTATTTCGAGGATCGGCATGCTTCTGCTGCGTTTTGGTGTTCTCTAGGAGGGCCTGGGTCCAATCTAATTTATCAGCCTTCCTATGTTGTATGTATGTATGTATGTATGCATGCATGCATGCATGCATGCATGCATGCAAGTATGAGTGTCTGCCTGTCTGTCTGTCTGTCTGTCTGTCTGTCTGTATGTCTGTATGTATGTATGTATGTATGTATGTTTATATATGTTTATAGATATGTAAATGTATACGTGCATACATATATATATATATATATATATATATATATATATATATATACACGTGTGCATAATATGCTTCTTACGACCGACGTGTACATGTACACTTTTGGAAGTCCGCGCGGATTTCTTGGATCTGCGCTGGGTATTCCTGCGCAGATCATTACACCCGTACGGACCTCTGAAAGTTGATGTGTGTGCAGTTTTTACTGGTTCTTAATTGCCTGCCGGGATGCGGAAGGCCAGGGCAACGTACAGTCCAGTCGTTGTGGCGATCCCGGGGGCCTCTCGGAGGCCTCTCGGAGGCCTTTTGGAGGCCACTCGGAGCCTCTTGGGGGCCGTCTTGGGGCGTATTTGCGGCCGCCTGGCCCTTTCGGAGGCCGTCTGGGGGCTCTTCGGGGCCGCCTTGGGTCTCTCTGGGGGTCCTCTTGGGCCCTCTGGGGGGCCTCTTGGACCGTCTTGGGAATCTCTTTGGGCAATATTTGTGCGCTGTTGGGCCGTCTTGGGGCCCTCTTTGGGCCGTGTGGGGGCCATCTTGGAGGCTGCTTCGGCCGTCATGGGTTTTGGCTTCTGGAGGCGTTCTTGGAGGGCCCCCTTGGGGCCTTCTGGAGCCATACTCTGGGACTCTTGTGCCATCTTGGGGCCATCTTGGGCCGCCTTGAGGCCGTATTGAGCCGCCTTGGAGCCGTCTTGACCCGCTTTGGGGCCCTCTTGGACCCCTGTCTCACCTTAGAGGCCAAACTCATGGTTTTCTAATGTTTTGTCCGCACATCCTAAGTGGGTTTTTTGTTTTCTCTCGGCACCCCCGTGCAGAAACATGAACACACCCACGTCATCATCGCCATCATCATCACCACTATCACCACCATCAGCATCATCACCACCGCCATCATCATCAAGGTCATCATCATTATCATCATAATCGTCATCATCATCACCACCATCACCATCACCATGACCATCACCATCAACAGCATCATCATTAACATCATCACCATCAGCATGCCACCATCATTATCGCCAACGCTGTCATCATCATCACCATCAGCACTATCATTAACATCATCAGCACTGCTATCAACATCATCAACATCATCATCGTCATCGTCGTTGTCGTCGTCCTCGTCATCGTCCTCGTCATCATCACCTTCACCATCATCAACAGCATCAGCAGCATTATCAGTATCATCATCATCAGCATCATCGTCACCAACATCATCGCAACCAGACACCGCATCGGCCCCCTACCATCTTACTTACCATCACACCACCGTCTTTAACAGCGTCGTCATTCTCATCATCAGCATCATCCTTATCATCATCACCGCCCCACACACACACTCACCAAACCACTCACACGCTCACATCATCATCGTCGTCGTCATCCTCATCATCCTCATCATCATCACCATCATCCTCCTTAGCATTATCATCATCATCATCATGAGCAGCATCATCATCGCGTTCACCATCGTCGCACACACTTCCGTAGCCATTTTGGCTGAAGCCATGTTGGTTCAAGCCATGTTTGATTCGAGCCGCGGTCTCGAGCGGTTCTTCTGTGCACCGCTCTCCGTCCACACGACCCCGATGCTCTGCCATTTCGTATGGTTGCGTCTTTCCACACGTGTCCAAGGCCTGAACCTGTTTGACCACCCGCCTGCAGAGGACGATGCCAGCTGGCGCGAAACGACGGCCACAAGAACGACGGGCAAGGACGGGAAGCGCGTGGCCACCTTTGCTGCAGGATCTTTTATTCGGTATAGTTTGAATACAACACTGCACCATCTCATTCGGCCGCTCGTGGCCGAAGAACACCAAGCGGACTACCACGCCTCACTGACTTATCATAGCAGTCCAGCTTGCCTTCAACAATATTGGTACATGCAGCCCTTTGCAGTGGACCCTGGTCTTGATGGCGCTTGTGGTGGCAAGGCAATGGAGTCCTATATCAGCATTTTCCTTAATAACATGACCAATGATTGCACCAAGAAGCATTCGCTCTACATTCCAAGCGCCATACAGAAACATGGAGGGTGTGCGCGCAAGGGCGTATTGAGGCAAAGTCTAAGCACTGATGATAATGAACTGGTGGTTGCAAAGCGTTCAGCTGCCGTATCTATGAATCCTGGCGAAGACCCCGATTTGAGTTTCTCCATTCTGGATCTAAACAGGCCGCAAACAGCTGCAAACGCCAATCGCCACGCGCTCGCGCTCTCTTTTTGAGCTGCCAGCAGCTGTGGGACGACGCTGTAAAGAGTGAGGATATGCAACGCAGCCGTACGACTACGCAGTGTTCCTCAGGGGCGATGTCTTGCGGCCGAAAGATTCCAGCCCGAATCGTCTCATCGATAACGGCCTTGCGGATCTTTCTCTTTCGTCTTGGCTCACGAGCGGCGCGCGCGGCACAGCAGGAGATTTTCGAAGCCGTGCACGAACGGACTGCGTACGCAGACATTGGACTTCCTGCAACGACCGCTCCGGGTCGCCACAGCATACTACCCGCATGGAGGGTGCAGCGACCAACATGCACAGTGCATCCACGACGTGCGTGCAGAAATGCACGAAGACGCACGACAACAGAAGAGGACGACGGCACCTGCGGGCGGCTTCAACGCGAAGGTGGGCAGACGGTGCGACAACGACGACGACGACGACGGCAACGCCACGGACAGGGAGAGACGCATCCTCGGCAACTGCAGAATGGGGGAATGCAACTGTCGCGGGTTATGGCTGCGGTCGTGGGCTGGCACGCGCAATTTGAGCACCGCCAATACCATGTTCTACAAACGCCCCGAAAACGTTTTTACGTGCACGCATGCGGGCTCCAAGCGTAAGCAGTCACAGATCGACTACATCTTCGTGGACCAGCGGGCCCGGCAATTGGTACTCGATGTTTTTGCCACGACGTGCCCCGACCTTGGCTCCGACCACCAGGCCGTGCACCTCCGGATGGCACTGGGCTGCGCGAAACGGCCGCCGCGACGATGAAAACGACGACGCACGTGCGCACGCCAGCAGACATTGCAGGTAACGGCTTGGATTTCCAGCACCACATGCGAGAACTCCTCACAAGCAGCGAACAGCCATGCAACGTGCAAGATGCCTTCATCTGCACTGAACAAGCAGTCAGAGCAACGCACGAAGAGTACCAACAGCAAAAAGACCAGGAGCAACGCCAACGTACCCGCGACGCATGCGACGACGACGAGGCCGCGCAACAATCGCAGACACTCGTGCGGCAACGCAGGGACGCACCGCTCAGTGACACAGCCACCACAACAGCTTTCAGCAAACGCATCCAACCACAGCGCCGGGCCCTCAAAAGAGCACGACAACAAGCAGCAGCCAGTGATATTGTTATTAGTTTTTGCGGCCTCCACAAAATATCTTTGGGAGCAAGTCCAGTAAAACAAGAAAAGAGATTTCATTCCAGCCATGGCAACGGCGGGCGGCGCCGACGAAACCGACCGCCAGGGGATCGCATACGTCTTCGCGGATTTCTACGAGGAGTTGCACCGACGTTCCCCAGCGACAACATCCCTGACACAAGCGAGACCGACCAACGAAAAGGACAATCCCGACAAGCAGTGCGGAACAGAGCATTCCACCATTCACCGAAGAGGAGTTACATCAAGCGGTGAAGCAAATTAACAGTGGGAAGTGCAAAGACACACTTGGCCTCACCGCGGAGCTTCTGAAAGCTGGGGGCCTTATCACAGAGAATCACGTGCTGCAGCTGTTCAACGACGCACTAGCACCAGAATAGACACCTCCTGACCAATGGGGGCGTGCCGCTATCAGCGCCATCCTCAAGTCTGGCGACCCACTAGGCCCCAAAAACCGACAGGCCAATCGCAATCATGCCGCTGCTGTCCAAGCGCATGCCCCGATTACTCGGCGACCGCCTAGAGACACCCTTCCACCCCTCGCCAGACCAAGCTGGTTTCCGAAAGAACTTCAGCACAGAGGGCCACCTCTTCACGCCAACAATGCTGTTTGAACAGTCGTGCGGCTTGCAGCCCGATTTGTGGGCAACTGCGATAGACTTCAGAAAAGCATCCGGCTGCGTCGACCATCAGTGCTTGTGGGGGGCGCCGCGGGAACAGAGGTGCCCAGCGCCATGCGTCACATTGCTGCAGAAGTTCTACAGCGAGCAGACGACCACAGCGAGGGCCGACGTCAACGGCATATACTTCGACATCGAGCGCGGCGCCAGGCAGGGCGACCCACTCAACTCTTACCTTGTCAGCGCATTGCTCGAGCACGTGTCTCAGAAAACCAAGTGCGTTTGGAACGTGGTTTTGGCGTGCAAGTGGGGCGCGCGAGGGCCGCTCGCCTGACCGAATGCTTGCTGATGACGTCCTGCTTTTGGCGCCCAAGTTGCGACGACTAAAGTGCATCCTGCGCGACCCCGAGCACGCGGCCTCCGCGCGCGGACTAGAGGTGC